TGTCAACATGACAGGCCACAGAAACAACAGGCTGCATGTCAGATAGAACTGTCACCAGACGAGGTCCAGAACAAACCAGTGAAGCATTGTGCTCCAGTTTAACATGACAATGCGTTTCATTGCTGTCAGTCTGTGCGATTTTTCATGTATGATTTTTTTTGCATGTATGAGCAGTTATTATTATGTAAAAAGTGTTCGTCGTGTGTTTTGCATGTAATATACTGTACTCTTACATCGCAGTTTCTTTTAACTGTTTTTTATGTGACCATTTTATTTTATTTTTACTGGACGCAAAACAAATGAGTTTCTTGGTCATCGTGTCAATCCTCAGTCCACACATACATACTGTACATATACTGTTGATATATGTATTATTAACATGCAATAATCTGTTCATGTACATTTCTGCAGTAATTAAAAAAGAGCTCCTCCAGTTCTTCTATCTCCCTCCTCCCTTACTGTCCATCCTTTCATAGCCCCCACCCTTCCCGCTTTATGTTTACATGAGCATATCTTACTGACGGTATGTATTAATGCAGTCTCAAACATTTCACAATCTAAGTCGAGTGTAAATAAAGTTTCTCCACTGTAAGCAAGTCATTAACTGTGGTTTCCATGGCAGCGTTAATGACAAAATACGTTCAAAGAAGATGAGAAATATGAACTCTGTGGAGGCGTTTCCACTTCAGTTCTGTTAATTATTTGAGCAGCTGTCAGACCTAAAAGTTATTTCTCTGACATAGATATAGAAAAGAGTAATTGTCAGATACTGAAATGTAATATTAGATGGTTTGAAAACTAATATCGAGACGATACAGAAATGATTTCATCCACTAATTCGTTTTAAGACTGTACATGTAGACTAATTCAATAAAACACTGTCATGTCAAAAAGACAAATCCTTCAAAAATCTTTCCCGTCAGGCACCTGCGGTCAATAATCCACAACTGGGCCTAAACTTCAGTCTTTCCCTGCTTCCCCCTGATGAGACGCTTATAGCGGCAGTCACATGCTAGAAAATGCAAAGATGCTGCTATTTAACTGATCACCGTGTTGATAATTTGTTGACGTACACATAATACTCTTATTTTGAAGGGAAAGGAAGGCTTGTTGGACTGTTGTTAAGTTTCCTTCAGACAGATGAGTCTCTTCATCTTGTGCTGCGGTGGATCTCTCTCTCTCTTCTGGTTAATGATTCACTGAGTGAGCAGCAGTCTGGGTGTTTGTCTTTATGCCGGCTGTACTGGTTATACTGGACCATGCCGGTGCCCATCACAGAGACAGCATGGCGTCTTCTGTATTATCTGCAATGTAACACACACACACGCGCACACACGCACACACGCACACAAATAAACAGAAGAAGCTTCAAGGTGTGCTGCAGTGGCCTTGAACTTGAGCTCATTTCATTTGTCTGTGCCTCTGTCTGCACCCCCCCCCCTTCTCTCCCTTTCCAAGTTGAACTTGACCTTGACCCTCAGGGGCCAGGCTGACCTGTCCCCCCCCCCCCCCCCCCCCCCCGCCCCCCCCCCCCCCACCCCCACAGGCCGGCAGACCACACCATGGGAGAGAGACTGACTGTCTGGGTGGTTTGCGTGCGTGCTGGGTGCGTGCGTGTGTTCAGGCTGTTTCTGAACTTCAGAGTGAGTTTTTTTTAAAACAAGCGGCCAGTTGCTGTGAATGTGAAATAACGATCAGCTGCTGTGATCTAATTGGAAGGAGAAATATAATCCTGAGCACACATCAGACCAGAACTCTACAGCTTCACGGCGCCTTTAATGCTGTTGATTCAAACAGCTGATTCTTCTTTTCTGTTGTCTGATCTCAGCTGCTCCATGTGTTGATGCACCGTTTTTTTCTAAACTCAGAAATACAGTATTGTTTTTATTTTTTTTATTATTATTTTACTTGAACTCGGAAATTCTTTCTTGATCTTGGAAGCAGTAGTTTGACAAAGATCCCCGGTAGAAGAAATTCAAGCATAAGGAAGGTGGGGAAAATGTAATAAGAAATAAAATGAGAATAGAAACAGAATCTAAACTAAATAAGATAAGATAATAATACTATATACAATAACAATATACAATACAATGTATGCGATAACACTAACCCTAAATAAAATCAACTGAAGGGAGAAAAACTCAGCGTCTATTGACGGTGGCTCTTTCTGAAGCTTTCAACTGAATCTCACGATATTCATCAGCGAATGGAGTAAGCAAACTCCATTCCAAAAGCGGAACGTCAGTTAAGATTTTATTCTTTTTATTCCTTCTTTGTTTTTCCTATTAATCTTGTTTATTTTATTGTTCTATCATCTATTTATTTTGAAGGGACATTTACCCTGACTTCCCCTTAGAAACCAGATACATTAAACAGACGGCTCCTCCTCTACATCATTCTTCATAGTCAGAATATGTCAATTTAAAGCTTTGAATTCAGATTGTTTTGCTACTTTTGGATTCAAAAACATTTCATATAATGCTTTATACTTAAACGCGTTTTAATTTGACATTTCTTTACTTAAAGAAGACTTTGCCGCCATCACTTCACATGCTCTGTCATTAGTTCAGTCTCCACCACAGCTCAGACCAGTGGCTGATGAAGGTTTCTCTCCCCTCACTGCGTGTTCCTGAGTGACACCTACACGCGGTGGAAGTAACACGCAGAGAAGACAGACACATCTGTCTGTTTAACGTCCCGCGCACATCCTCACTGCTGCCCGCAGCCTCCACTTCCATCAGCCGGAGAAGCTTCACACCTGCTTCTGTCGTCTGCTGCCAGTGAATAATACTGAAGGCTGCTCTTAACATGAGGTCTAACGCAAAACCATAGTGTACTGTTCGTCATTCATCCTGCCGTACACACAGAGATACGACCCCAAAAAGAAAGCAACAGCAGCAGATCAATTCCTGATGCAGAAACCGAAAATAAAATACAGTCAAATCAGACAAAATATAATTATATCTTAGAAAGGCGACTCAGTTGTTGCCTCTTCGGTTCTGCTACACCCACAGGAAGTGTATTACAAGCTCGTGTTGCTGTTGGCAAGTTTCTCCAGCCACATAGATTAGCCACTCATTATCTCGAGGTATCCACAGAAACCACATGAGTAAAATAATGTTTGTAATGTCTAAAAAATGCTAAATCTACAAGTTCTTGGAATTGGAATAATTGGACAAGTTTGACGCATCACAGATGTTCTTCTTCTGTAAAGATGACCTGCAGTGAAGAGAGAACAGAATTCAAGATGTTGATGCTGCAGGCCTCGTTACCAACAACAGCACATTATTATTACAACAACCCTCTGGGTCCTGTTTGCAGGGAGATAACTTATTTGAACACTCGATATTTTTTTCCCTTTCGAGAAGCTTTACGCATAAAACCACACACTCCTCGTTGTTCTAACTGTGTGTAGAAAGTGACTGTCCATCCATTTAGGTGCATTGTGCAGCAGCGTGTGGAAACAAGTGTGGAAGAGTTCAACCTAAACCTTTACCTTAAAGAGCTCTGTAAATCTAAAACCATCAGCAACCAGTCACATTACTACGCAAATAACGCCGCTCAGAAGAAGGGCCGTGAAGACCTCTCTGAATCCGTGTTTCTGGAACCTTCAGACCTCCACCCCCCCCACCCCCACTATAAACCCCATTTACGCTTCCTTCAGTCAGGTGGTGTGAGAACAGACAGACGAAAAGCACACATAAATTCAGTCTGAGAAATGTCCAAGCGGGTGCAATTATTTTAATAATCAAATGTTTCTTTTTGGAAACTGGAACTACTCCTGGTACGTTAGGATTTTTTTTAATACTTTTATTACAGCGATAAACTTTGTTTTCATACATTTGGCAATGCCGATTATTAGTCTTTAAATATGTCCATAACTGTGTGTAATAGTGAGCATTTTATTTTGGAGCTCAAATTATTACAGCCAAGAGTGAAAGAATTCAACATTTGAACAACGAAATTTCGTTCATTCCTTTTTTCGCTTTTATTTTCATCATATTCACAGACAGTACCTGTGCGTGCTGCCTGTTTATTCACACTCAGTGTTGACTAGAGAAGAGATTTAATCAAACATGAATCATATAAAGGAGCCGCTGGTTCAGGTATCGCTCGTTCATTGTAAGAAATGGTTGTTTGATTTGCCTTTGATGCGTTGCAGACCACACACGCGAGCTCCCCGCTGCCTCCACCAATATCACAATAAACAATAAAACAAAGGACGAGCCTTCTCTGGAGCCTGTTTCTCTAACATGAGTCTACGTCCACAGTTCTACCGCCTCAGTCAGTGCGAGGGTGAGAACTGACTCCACGGCACACATCGCCGTTTGCATATGCGCGCGTTCCCCGTGCGTCTTTACGCACAACACAAAACATCATCTGTTAAAGTCATTTATTTTTTGTATCTGGAATCACAAAGATAATGTTACTCTTTGTGGCAACCGCAGCAGATCTGAGACTCCTTTGACATGATGCAGCTGCACGAAGCAAAGCAGCACATTCAGGAAGCTGAATCCACTCTGCTCATGCTCCTCTCGTGCCACAGCTCGAGCCTCATAAAAATATTTTCTCTTTGACTGACAATCCCCAACAAGTCTCTTCTTCTCCGTCTTTTTTCTCTTGTCCCATCACGTGACGCCCCGGTCTCATCCAATAGACAGGCGCCCTCCCTCTTCTCCTGGTCCTGGGGGCTTGTTGCGTCAAGGTTGCGGCTGGGATGTAACTGGGGGTCCAGCCGGTTGCCCGGAGTCTTTGCCTGCGAGCGAGCGCCGTCACTGAATGGTGCAGCAAGTCAGTGCACGCGTGCCACGACAGTGCGTGTGACTGTACATGTGAATTACCTGAGCTGTGTATGTGGGCAGGAGAGCCAGCGGTGACAGAAGAAGAAATAGGCTCCAGTTCACCTCATTCAGCCAATGTAGCAGCTTCGCGCACAGGACCGGACAAAGTCTGAGAGGAAACGGCGACGAACGGAGACCAGACCGGGAAAAGTAGAGCCTATGACAGCCTCCCTGGTCCTAAACCCTCGCTGGCCAGCGGAAACGGTAATGTTTGTGTATGATAACAACCTGGACGACCTGAACAAGAACATGGAGGGGCTGGTGGGAAGCGGCAACTTCGCTGCGGCCACAGCGGCCAGCCAGTGTCGCAACATTATGGCGCACTCGGCGGCCGCCGCCGCTCTGGGCGGCCACCCGTCCGGCCTGGTGCACTCTTCAGCCGGCTACTCAACAGTAGACGTGTCCGCGCCAGGCTCCAGCGAGACTGGCGCGTCTTCGGGGAAGCAGTGCGCAGCCGGACCTTGTCCGGCGGCCGCCGTGCCTCACCAGAGCTCGTCCGCTCCCCCCGCGTTACCTTACAGCTACTTTGGTAACGGCTATTACCCATGCAGGATGGGGCGGGGTTCTCTCAAGTCATGCACCCAGGCAGCCGGAGCCGCGCTCAGCTCGCAGTACATGGACACGACAGTGAGCACTGACGAATACCCGAACCATCGTGCCAAGGAGTTCGCCTTTTATCACGGCTACCCGAGCCCGTACCAGTCCATGGCCAGCTACCTGGACGTCTCGGTGGTCCAGTCGCTGGGCACCGGTGAGCCACGCCATGACACACTGCTCCCCATGGACAGCTACCAACCCTGGGCTCTGACCAACGGCTGGGGGGGACAGATGTACTGCTCCAAGGACCAGGGGCAGGCCGGGCACCTCTGGAAGTCCGCTCTGGCTGGTAATACATCGCTGTTAATTCTCCTTTAAAACCATCTCTGTCCAGTGGAGGCATTTAAATGAATGAAGAATGATGTAGGCTATAAGCCTCGAGCTACAGTGATATATTTTATTAGGAACAAATTATAGACTTTCATTTTAATCCGACTTTGAAGCTGATTTAATTTCTCTGGTAATTAAATTCAGTCATCATAAATTCGGACTGCAGCTGCATACATACTAACATGACGAGTGTTTTCCTGCATGCAGCATCACTTGAATGGGGAGGCGGTCTCAGCTGCTTCATGCTCGACGAGGCCATTAATTAAGCAAAAGGTCAGGTGTTGCTGGTGCTGAGTGACCCATCTAGTTAATCTGATAATAAGATAATATTCAGGTGACTGATGCTCAAGGTGTTAATATTGCGATACTATAATGATCAGCACATCGATCTGGGTTTTAATTAGTGTTTTTTTTTTTATAACAGCTGACTTCTGATCAGCCTGAATTTACACTCAGGTCAACTGAGGCAATAATTGGAAAGACAAAATAATGAGCCTGAGGTTTCTACACTGAGTATTGTACATTTGCATGCGGATGCATAAACATATAGCTACATTATAATCACAGACACAGAGTGCAGCTCAGCCTCATGGTAGTGCTGCTTGCAGACCGCAGACATCCACCATGTTGGTTGTGTATGTCTCAGGTCCAGTCCTCGTTCTCATTTAAGCCGCAGACGCTAAACTCAACACAGCGCCGCTTTTGTCTTGAAACCCAGGAGTGTGTGGAGTGTGTAAATATGTCCCGGTGTGTGCAGCCTCGTCCTCAGACCGCCTGTCTGTCCTCTTCTCTTTGTCCGCTTTCCAAACAGATGTGGTGGCACATCAGCACGACAGCTCGCCTTTCCGCCGCGGCAGGAAGAAACGGATACCGTACACCAAGGTGCAGCTCAAGGAGCTGGAGAAAGAGTACGCCGCCAACAAATTCATTACCAAGGACAAGAGGAGGAAGATCTCGGCCGTGACCAACCTGTCGGAGCGGCAGATCACCATCTGGTTCCAGAACAGGAGGGTGAAAGAGAAGAAGTTCGTGGCCAAAGTGAAGACCAGTGCGCCGTAGCATGTAAGGTTCCTGTTGTCTGGACGATTTTAGTGAAGGGACTGGGCGCATCTGCCTGCTGGTGAAAATGAACTAAGTGAAAAGACAAAAAAATTGAGGAAAAAAAAGAAACTCGACGTGGTTCTCGTGGAAGACTTGGGACTGTGCGTGCCCGTGTGCGTCAAAACATGGAAGAAAAAAGACAAAGAAAAAGGACAAAGGATAAAAATAAAGAAAAGAAGCAAGGCCCTCTGATAAACCTTCTTCTCAGAGACATCCTGTAAATACAGCAGCTCCCTGCCTGCTTTAATGTAACTGTCTGTCTACTGTTTGTGTTTTATTGTTTGTCAGTGCTGTGCGTGATCAGTAGCCAATAGCTGAAACACACTATTATTCTGTCCATATTGTTTATAACGCTTGTAAACCAGTAATCAAAGATAGTGCGGCACTTAATAAATTCTTTTAATCCCGATATAGTCTTAGCTCTTTTATCAATCAATCAGTATGAAAACTGAAAAGGGTGCGTTCACGCTCCTTCAGAAAACTACGCGCGTAAAAGTTGCAAGCAAATCCGCATTTGACTCATATCAAAGGCTGAAAGCTGATATCCGCCAACTGCACAAACAGCGGAGGAATTCTGATGAACAGTGTTTATGAGACCGTGAACTCATATTTGGGTCTGGCCTCCCTGCTATCCGTATCCTCCTGTCATTTCACAGGCCTGTATAGACCCGTGTGAACAAACCTTCCGTTAAACTGAATTTGACCAAATGGTAATTATTTAGTTCTCAAAACTTTTAGCTGTGAATTTAAACGATTCGCAGCATGAGCAGAAAATATGTTTATTTTCACATTTAGTTTCAGAATTTCTTTCTTCAGCTTCTTGCCGCTGTTTCCATAAAGCCTCAGCGCAGTTTCCACGTCTCCTTCTGCAGAGACCGTGAGGAGCAGAGACACGGAGCGCGGAAAAGAATTCTCCACTATTTCAATTTGAAAACTGTAGCTTGCAGTAAATCTATTCAATCTAACTCTACATTAAATGAATAGTTTTTGATTTGATTGAAAGTCCATTAGTACTCACACAAAATACTTTATGGTTCTGTTGCCGAAAATTACAACTTTTGTCCGTATTTAGCCTGAATGATAAACCAACAATATGATAGGATGTTTCATTTTTTGAAACTGTATTGTAGGTATGATATTAACAGTAAGCAGAACTGCATTAGAACTGTACTGCGTGTTAGTGTGTGTGTGTGTGTGTGTGTGTGTGTGTGTGTGTGTGTGTGTGTGTGTGTGTGTGTGTGTGTGTGGGTGTGTATGTAGCCTATAACCTGTAGTCATAGCCAAATATTTAATCATGGAAACTGAAAACTGAGCAGAATACACACGACACACAGAGAGCTGTGGAATTGGAGAAAATGATATCGAAAATTGAAAGTAGCTTTTTGCGTTAAATGTTATTAAGTCATTACAACCTTTAAACAGCAGACACGTCGTTGGAATAGAAGAGAACAGATATTACATTCACTTGCGCTATTGTTTGTGCGCTCTGTGCGAATCCTTGTAGCCTGTAACTTGTGTACACTATTTGTGTGTGTGTGTGTGTGTGTGTGTGTGTGTGTGTGTGTGTGAAAGAGAGAGAGGAGCACTTGACCTTGACAGTCACGTGACCGACTGGACTGGCTCTCACTCAAGTCTCCCGCGAACATTTTACAACAGCAGGGCGTTGCGTAGTCTGGTCTGATAGAGACACCCCCAATACCACACACACACACACACACACTGCGGCTGCAAACTTCCCGCGCACACTGACGTATGGCCTGACCGTATGGCCGCTCCGTGTCTGATCAGCTTTGGTTGATGATCGTCAGCTGCAGGTTCATCGATTTTTTAACTTTACACAGACTCTTGGTTTTCAGATCATGTCCAAACAGCTGTGCGTAATGTTTGGTGCATCCAGGCTTTTATAGAATCCTGATTTTCTACTTTCCAAAGAAAGTCCACTGAGCTGCGTCAGAGAACACGATCCTCCTGTTGACTTACTCAGTAACTGTGATTCTCTGCAGAAAGCGGACGGAGGCCAAGCCATGACTGTCATGTAGCCTGAGGCCTGCTGCGGTGTCACCGGGGAGGATGAATCACGGCTGGTGTTGTAGTTCACTGATAGTTTTATCATGTGTGGGGAACTTGTCAGCTTTAGAAAAATGTGTCCTCCAGCTCCTCTGTCAGCTCCCAGAGCAGATACAGCGTGGAGTCAACGCAAAATGTCCAAACCCCCTCACAAACATCACAAAGTCCTCTCAGCTGAGTGCGCGTTCGCACTTTTGTTTGCTCACAAGGACATTAAACAGTTAGTTATAACAAAGCGGAATCCCCCCTTTCACCCTTTTAACATACATTTAAATGCTGCGGACAGAACCACGGAGATACGTGATTTCTAATGTGACCAAGGTGCATTACAGCTCCCATTACAAATGACTCTGGTAACTATTCTGTGCGTCCTCGATGTTTCTATTCCTCTGTTCATATAAAGCAAATGTTTGACATATGTTAAATGGCGCAAATCTATTTGTGTGTTAAATCCATGTCGTTTAGGCTTCGGCCCTCGCTGCTGTCGCCGTGGGTTGTTGTGTGTAGCGGTGCACTGAGAGCTGGAGCGCCACGCCGTCCTGTTTGGTTTTGACCACTGACGTGGCCCGATCGCTTTCTCTCCACCGAGGAGACGAACTGACCTGACTCTCAAATACATTTCATTCCTGTTCATTCATTCCATTGGTTTTTCTTTGAATATCAGAGTGTTTTTTAAACTTCATTTTCAGTGTTGTGGTGATATTTCACCAGGTGATTCACACAAATCTGAAAAACAGTTTTGTTCAACTTATAGAAGTGGGATCTCTCTGCTCTGATGCACAATTATAATGATAATAAATAATAACTTGAATAATAATTAAAAATAAATGTATATGAAACAGAGCTTTTACAAGGCCTGAGCTACCTGCGCTGAAAATATATACCAGGCTTTTCTCACGGGAACATGAGAACATTTTGGTTTCACGTAGCTTTGAATTTATATTTGATTTGTTTACTTCGCCTGTAGCTCTTTATTTTGCTGAAATATCATCTACATCCTCTAATATTCTGCTTCAGGCTTTTAGCAGTTGGAATTAAACAGCAAAAATGCGCATTTCAGTGATTTACTGTATCTAAAAGACATTTTAGTTGCAGTAAAGAGATTAAATGCGCGCATAGTTAAAACTATGAAACATCCATTATGTGAGAGAAAGAGTTTCAGTGGACATTTAATTATTACTCGTTTAGGATATATAATGAGCTGAAAATATGAAATACTGTTTATTGTCTGAGCTCGGGTCGTTAAACAACATTAATGTGCAATTTCAGGTTCTTTTATCAGTGAAACAAACGTTGAAATTGGACCTCCAAACAGACGGTAAATTAAAATGAAATGGTCAGTGATGTTTCTGTGTGGAGCTGTCCAGAGGGAGCAGCCACGAACATCAACGAATACTGTTGTTAAAAGATAAAAAAAGATAAAGAGAAGAAGAGAAGAGAAGAGAATAGTTGCAATTCAATATATTCTATACAATACAATAATTGTTGTTCAATTCTTCTTTGCATCGGGGGAATATTGATTAAAAAGAAGCTGGATTTTCTTTTCTTTCTCTCTCTCTCTCTCTCTCTCTCTCTCTCTCTCTCTCTCTCTCTCGGACTGTTAAACATTAACATTGAACTTGACAAACGGCGGTGTGCTCTGCTGGCCTGTTGACTCTCTTTACTGCTGTCTCTGTCCAACAATACTGACGGAAGCCCTGAAGCTCATAAAGCTCGTTGTCCCCTTTAATCCAAATACCAGAGATAGGAGGAGGAGGAGGAGGAGGAGGAGCTGCACCAAACAAATCACGCTGTTTTATTTTATTTTACACATCAAACAAACAAACAAAAACACAAGTCACGTGAATTCAATCCAGCATGCACTTTAGTTTCTCTAAATGTTTTTTTTTTTTTTTTTTTTTTAATTCTGGTCATATCAGTTATATAATGTTACTTTTGCTTAATGAGTGGAACTTATCATTTTAAATGTGTCTTATTCACACATTTCCACCTTTCATGTGATGCGTTTCTCAAATAGAAAATGTAACATTTACACAGGAAGATATTATTAGATGCTGCCTGTGCAAACACAGTGGAAAAATAAATAAAATGTCCTCGATTAAAGCAGATCAATTTAACTTAAAAACAACAACATAATAATAATAATAATTCATTTGAGCTGTCTATGTAGCACACTACTTCTTAACTCCGTTACATCTACATAAACCATGGGCAGTACATTCACATTCCTCCAGCCTACTTCAAGTACATCTCACAGTGGGTTACTTGCACTTTACAACTTTACGTGTATTTTACTTTTATTTTATTCTTCTGCTCCTCTACATTTATATGAGAGCTGTTTTAAAAATAACCTCCACTCAACTACAACATACACAGTGGCATCAAAAACAGTGAAATGAATAAAAAAAAGGCTGTAATAATACAGTTTGGAAGGGGATGTTTTTCTGCATGAGGACTATTTGTATTTCTGAGTACATTTTGCTCATAATGCTTTTATACTTTTGATTAAGTGTATTCTTGAATTCAGGACTTTTACAAAGGCAACTATTTGTATTGCAAAACATAAACGTTACATACAGTAAATAATAGAGGGAAGCCAGTGTGGACAAAGCAAATAAAATGAGGTAGACAAAAAATGTTATACAATGAAGAGGTTTAGTGAGAACAAGCTGCAGCATAATCGGCTTCAGGTCAGTTACATGCATCAGAACAACTACAGCTGTTCACAGCACCGAGATAATGGATACAACAAATATCTATAATATACTGAAGCTAAGAGAATGAAACTTAAATGGAAAAAATCCAACAAATAAAATAAACAAATGTTTTATTTCATTTTTTTTTTATTTCTCTTTTCACTTGATTCCCATTCACAGATTTTTATTCTTTAT